CAAATATATATATATATATATATATATATATATATATATATAATCTTGAGCAATTGAGATATTACCATATCACATCTAAATTGGCTTGTAACAAGATCAATCATAAATTGCCCAGTTTTGTTATATCCAGTGATCAGCTTCAAACAGACTTCTGTATAGCGATTTCTGAAACAGTGTCAAATTGTACGGCAAAAGTGTACTTAAACGGGTTTTTTTCTCTCGCGAAACGCAGCCTGTCTTTCCCCGTTCACGTTTGGTGTTAGGCCGCTGCGGATGTCCGTAAACGGTGTCGTTCAATCAAACGCATCCGATCGATCGGCCATCGGGAACAATCAATCAATATCGGTCTGATCGGTCTGGTCAGATGGTGCGAAAAGGGAACGAGTCAATGCGGACTGGCCCATTCGTGTTTCCTTCCCCCTGGGTCGGCATTGTTCCGTACACCCCTACACAAAAGGAAAGCCAGGAGGTCTCTCTGTAGTTGGCACTACATCAATCAGACGTGTTTAAATGCCAGCTCTTCATGCCTGAAGGGAGAGGGGAAGGACTGGTCTGTCCCGCAGAGTAAGTACGCACGCTTACTGTGCAGGGGGAAAACTGATTTCCATCGTGTTCACAGTTGTTTTCGGAAGAATTTGTTTCCGGAACTGTAATCGAAATAGTGATAACATTATTCAAGTACTACTACCTACTTCGTTTTATGACAGTATTTGGGAAGGGGATGGGGTAGAATAAATGAAGTGTGATATGTAAAGTTAAACAGCATTGAACAATTATGTTGACCTGATGAGACCCAACCAGTCAGAAACAGCGCAGTTTGACCACTGCTTCCTAGTTTCTCGGTTCACATTTCATTTGCTCTACAAACACTACGAAATTCCTTATACAGCGCGTTTCTTTCAGGAAAGGAGAAGTGGCCATTCAATGGGCTGCCATTCAACACACAATGTGGCGGGAAGTCAGGCGGTGGTGGTGGGATTTTAACATACATCCCAGGGTAAGAATTTGGTGACGTTACCACCGAGTTACCACCGCGTTACAGCTTCTATATTACGGACCACAGGCTGATGGTAAAGACCAACGGGATGCCGTGCGGCCCAGACAGAAGCTGTACAACGCCAGGAATACGAGCACGCTATTGGTAGATGCCTAGATGACCAATGAACTTCGCCCGTACATATTATTCAAACCACATGATTTCGTCCAATAAAGGAACTGTTACTTTTGTGGTTTCTTCTCCTTGCGTCTCGTTTACGTGGGGCACCGTCATACAAGTGCTAGTGTGATGCAATGTTTCCGTGGCGTCCACTTGGCGGTGGTGGCCAAGTGGTGTTAGGTCACCAAATTGTAACCGGAGATCCCGCGAGTCGAACCGCTCCACCGCCACCACCCGTGTTCCCCATTTCTGTATTCCCCCAGGCAGCCCTTGTATGGCCCTGGCCCCGTTCCTGAAAGTTGACTGCACATTTGTATATTCAATGAAATAAAAAAGGAAGTAAAACGACATTTTTTAACTATGTGATTCGTAATCCGTGATCTGTGCCTACTTCAATCATTACAGTATCTACCAGTCAAATCCCCCGACACACATCAAACTTTACGCCAATCTGACATATCTATTACCTATCCTATATGACTGTATTATTCAGAAAAGGGAGCTGTTCGCGTTATTTCGTGTTTTCTCAAATGTTACAACAATGGTAGTCTTCAGTGAACTACTATCTGCGTGTGTGTGTGTTTGAGCAGACCAAGACCCACCAGCTTCATGGCGGAAGTTGCGACTGTGACCGAAGTGTGTAGCCAGTGAACAATCGAGAATAGACCACCTCAAATACCAAATATGCAGCCCCACTGCGTGTCTCGATCCGGCTCGAGTTTCATCCGCTACACTTATGTCAGTTGACATCGTGGATTGATGGAATTTTGTTTTCAGGTGGTGAACCGCGGAATAAAAGAGGTTATTTATCCAGAAAATGCTTGTTTACAACAACGGCTTATTTGTTTGCTAGAGTGGTTGTTGAACAATCTACCGGTTACTGGGCACGGGTACCCCAATCCATACGAGGGAGTTGGGGGATAGGAGAACGGGACTGATGCTTAAACTACCTACCAGACAGCCTTACTGTAGTAATTGTAGCAATAGTAGTGGTTGTAGTAGTACGCATTAAACTCGAAATGCGGATCGCGCAATACAAATCACGGAATACGAATCAAGGACTAGAAANCACGAACTGGATCACGCAAGCACTGGATCGCACTATCCCACGTAACCGAGACGCGAAGAGAAGGCCCTAGGAGTAGTAGTTCATTCATTGGAAGAAATACAGGGGATTAAATAATATGTACAAAGTAAGTTCATTGGTTATCCGGGCTTCTACCAATCGCTTTCCAGCATTTCTGGTATCGTTCTGCTCCTGTCTGGGCCGTACAGTCTGTGATTGGCTGGTACGATCTAACTATGGTGTGTAGTCAGAAGCAGTAACACGTACGCGCGTAGTGGACGTCACTCATGGAGTTGGATTGATCGCAGTTGTCCAAAAGCTTTAACGCGTCGCTCCAGGGTGTCATCTCATAGGCCCGGATCATCACACTTACTTCAGTAGTGTTGAAAGTGGCTGGGCGAATCCTTCGTGACACCACCTAGTCGTGAATGGTTTGATCACCACAGACCAACACGTCTTTGTCGGGAAGCGGCCATGCCCACTCAGCTCACTGTGCTTCTTGGATGAGATGATTAGTCGTATAGATCGAGGGAAACAAATAGAGTTTTGCTACCTCGATTTAATCAAGTCTTTAGACTTGATAAACCACCGATTGCTACTATTCCAACTCAACTGGTTCGGACCAACCCTTAAAGTGACGACACAGATCACTAGATGCCTAACAGCAGAAGATTTGAGGCTAGTATAACTGAATACAGGTAACAAACAGGAAGGGTTCGTATTGGGTTTCCTCAGGGGTCCGTCCCAGGACCCACCTCTTTTTGTTATACATCGATAATTTTAGCCAAGACCTTGAAACCCCGTGCTTTAAGTCCGCCGTCGAATCAAATCCAGGGGAATCGATTCAGAGGGATGTGGACAAAATGCACCATTGAGTGCTCGGAGTTATCAGCACCTCCCTGGACAACAGGTTGAAATTACCTCAGGGTCTTCTACACGAGACTTAGTCGTGTGTTTGACGTCGGATTTCCTCCCTAAGCTTGAGTGTTGAGATGCTGTGAAGACAGCATCGCGAGATCTGTACCAGCTCCGACTATTAATAGGGTCCAGGAATTCCGGGGGTCCTCTTGCCAGTTTGCAAAGCCTTTGTACGACCGCGCCTCGAATACTGTGTTCAGGCGTGGAGACCGTTTCTGATAAGGGATGCTAAAGGGCTAGAGATGGTTCAAGGTGATTTTGAGGGATGAGAGTGCTCCTGTACGAAAGGTGACTGGCGGTACGGCACCTCTTCGCATTGGAGCAACGGAGGCGGCGAGGCGATCTCATAGAAACGTTTAAATTCCTCAAAGAGATCACAGACATAGGCGGTAGTTCGCAGAGGCTGTTGAATCTAAGCAAAACCACCGCACTCCGAGGGCATGGCTTGAAACCGGTCGACTACCGGGTGACATCCTTTCTGATATGAATCAGACACGACTGGAATAAACTACCAATTGAATGCATTGCCGCCATCTCAGTGACTGGTTTCTACTATCCTTTGACCAATTAATGGGTTAGTTTGTTCGTCGGAGGAGAGTAATCGTGTCAAGCGCCTGAAACCCGTCTCCCTCCCCACCACCCGTTCACCCCGATGGCATTCTTATCCACCAGCTTAGATCTTCCTCTCTTCACTTCTCCTTCTAACCCTAGACTACTCCTATTCGTAGTATTTTTCATCCCCATGGACTTTAAGATTTTCGGTGTGACTCGCCCGTCGAGGGGGTCAATGAGCAATACTGACCCGGTACAAACACCCTCGTAGTGGGACGTTATGGCCCTGGGACTCTTTTCTGATTTTCGTCCCACTACGTGTACCTTATTGAAGCTAAACCGTTTCATCTTATGGTTACAGCAACGAGGAATCCATGGAGCTTACCAGTGCAATAATAAATAGGACGTCCTGGCTAGCTGCGGCCAACGTCCTGGGCACCAAAATGAATTAAACTAAAATGTTACCTACAGGTAAACAGTACTCTGATATCGCCACTTACTCCTGTTGTCATGGTAGAAAAATAGAAATCGCTAATTCTGTGACCGTAGTCAACATGTTCTGAGACAGAGACAGAGACAGAGAGAGAGAGAGAAACAGGTGGGTGCTAGGTAATGCGGCTTTAACAACATCGAGGAATCAGTTGGTCAACTATGGAACTCCCGAACTGGATATGGCTGACCTTACCATTGGCACTTACGCTTGGTCCGTGTTACTTGTGTGATTTGGAGTGGGACTGGGAATAGGATGGGAGGTGAAGGGCCATGGCAGGTTGAGAGTGACTTCATAAATTGTTTTTGGACGCCCACAAGAGGGTATTATGCAGACAAATTCGAACCGCCTCTGCGGTGGCTAGTATGCTGCATTTAATCGGCTTTGATCTGCTACCCCGAACACAGTAGAGCTGCCGAAGTGCTTCAGTCACACCTCTCGCTGTGTGATCGGACTTGACGAGGTGTGTTACGACGACACTTGTGATAGTTTTAATCACACCAGCCAGGTAAGTCGAACAATTTCCCAATTCATTCTACATTCATTCATGCAGATGATGTTATTTTCGGTTGCAAAGCGTCAGCAAGTTGTGTGTTTGTCTGTTGATCGACGAACTATATTCATCCGTCACAAATAAGTTTTCCATTCTCTCTCTCTATCTGCCAGTCATGAACCCAGACCAACATCATCGGTGGTAAAATACCTTGGCGTTACACTATCACGCAATTTATCATGGTCACTGCACGTTCAGAACACATTCTGTAAAGCTGTAAAGCTTTCACTTCGCTCACTCAGCATAAGAATACTTTCGGATCCCCACAAGCTGATTTTTATGTTTATGAATGCATGCGTGATCCTTTCCTCTTGGTTGTAATGCTCCCCGGTGATTCTCCATCGATATGTTGAAAAAGGACTTTTCTATTTACTGGCGAGATCTCTGAAGCACACCTTAAAATGTAGTGGAATCGTCAGAGATAGACTCGCCGATTCTATCCTGGACAGACGTGTACAAGCATGTGAAAATTTTAGTGTCAACATACTCTCAGACACTCGTAATCACCCAGTACACAACGAACTTTCATAAGCTGTCTACATCATTCACACCCTCTAGGTTGAAACTTCGGGTTGAATGTACCTCTTTATATCGTAATTAAGTTTTGCAATATCTGGCACGTCTACTTATTGGCAAGGAGACAATTTCCACAGAATGGCGTAATTGCTTGCTTCCTCGACAAACAATATTTATTGCTTTCAGTTAGTTTCATTACGCATGATTTTGTAAATTTTAATCCACAAATATGGAGAAAATTTTCACAGAATTCCAAGAACGATACCTAACTAATTGCAATTTCTTTTTTTGTATGATTTTGTAATTTTTCATTCACAAATATGGTGTGTAAAATGTGGAAGGTTCGTCTATCAGGGTGCATAAAGCTACCACTGGTTTGACTTGACTTAGCGTAATGTCATACTGTGTATGGGCAAACTGGAAAACGATCCAGTCAGCTCCGCCCTGCCCGGTTTCGATTCCCTTTCGGATCAATGCATTTGCACAGTGTCCGTGGGACGAGATCCGACCAAGTCAATACAGTTGTCCAGTGATGCCTAGTTTTTTTTTCAGTTCACGCTACATTTGCACGCAACAAATAAATAATAAAAATATATAAACGCAATTTAATTAAACCCATTCGATTGTTCAGAGGCACCAGACAGACAGGCACTCTTGATGATCTCGGGTGGGTAGGTGGGTTTCCCTCACTTCTTGGGAGATGAGCGCTAATTCCATACATACATTTACATGCGATGTAAATGTTTGAGATAACCANTACAGCACTGGAGAGCTGTTTCGTCCCGTTTGGGACTCGTCAAATGACCACTATTGATGATCCTGGGAGCCATTCGCACAAGGTCGACACTGTCGACCGTGTAGTTCATGGGTACGGGTTTGAAGTCCCAACCCGAAAGTTCGAAGGTTCGATTCCTGCCTGTATTGGACACAGAAACGAGTACGCACACTGCTGACGAGTTCCCCAAAAACAGGACGAGACAGCTGTCTAGTACTCTTTGTCGGTTATCTCAAACATTTCCATCGCACGCAATTTAATTCAATCTACGCGGGCTTGAAATTTCGGCATCGTATTCCGGGATCGGTGCACCAAGTCATACCGAATGTGTTTGTGGGTAAATGTGGGGCATCAAACGTGCAAAAATGCGAATTGACTACTAAAAAGTGCATTAGAAAGCTTAGAACGAACACTCTTCTTGTCGGTCAGTGTTCCGACAAGATAGAGTACCAAAGAATTTC